CAGCTGTGACTTCCCAAGTGTTTGCTCAATAAATTAATTGTAGCATTCGGCTCTGATTTCCTCCACTCAGCTCCAATAAACTATCTTCAAATGGATGTATTCCCAGATTCTCTTGGTGCTGGGTGCAAATAAATTACTTTCAAAACTCTGCTTAAACCAGTGATGAATTCTCCCAATAAATTAACTCTGCAATGATGATCTATAAATCCTGCGCTCCTCTGAGCTGTGCTCAATTACCCAATGAATCACTTCAACAAGATAGTGCAGGTTGTCCTTGATAAATTCCTGATGCTCCTGCATGAATATTTCACAAGTTGCGTCCAACAGCTTAATAAATTCCCGCAAGTGAATTATCGCAAGAAATTGCACTCGATGAATCTCTAGATCTTCTCAATAAAACGCATCCCCCCACACACTGAATAATTAATAATTTATTGTTAAATCAATAAATTGTATCAAGAGCGTTTCTCCATACGTCAATCATTTCCACAGTAATTTATGCCCTTTCCTGCTGTTATACAAGCGTCTTGGGATGTCCTCCCGACATGAAAGGCGGAGTCCTGTAGCTCTCGCTTTGCAAGTGAGACGCCTGGGTTCAATTCCAGGCAGGGTGAAACCTTGGGCAAGTTTCCTCACTCCACGCGCCTAATAATAATCCCTCGAAAACAAAACAATAATAAATTGGTCATTTTCAATCCACGACTGTTTGTGGGACACTGCTGTGTGCAATTGGCTGCCGCGTTTCGCCCACAAATATACGGTCAATTCACTTTACAGTCTATTCTGTAAAGCACTTTGAGACATCAAGACGATGTGAAAAGCTCTATATCAAATTATTATTATCATACAAATGTAATTTTGTTGTTGTATTCCACTAAATTGAACCATAAAAATCTATGGTGGGGTAGGAGGCCTTTCAATCCAATATATTAGTATCAGTGCTTGTTCTTCAAGCCATGTATCCAAATCTCACTCCCTACTTTTTCCCTGTATCTTCTTATACTTTTCCTCTGCATATACTTAAGCAATTCGCTTAAATGCCCCCAATTCCCAAGGTGGGGTGAAATTTTCATCAACTTTCCTTACTCCACACACACGCCTCTGTTTACCTAGCTGTAACTAGGAACCCAGTTGATAGTCGATTGGCAGATCGCTTTCTGGGGGGGTCATGATTCCTTCTAAAAAATTTGGTCACTCAATCACCGACTGTTTGTGGGTCACTGCTGTGCGCAATTGGCTGCCGTGTTTCATCTACAAAATATACAGTCACTTTACAAAATCACATATTCACTTTATAGTATATTCTGTGAAGCGCTTTGAGACATCTCGAAGACATGATAAGGCACTGATTGAAATGTAAGAATTACTATTGTTATTGCTTGCTGCAAACATCCCAGGGTGCCATCAAGTGGCTGCACCAGAAAGCACTTGGATCACTTCCTGGACTTTGCTTATTGTTACTAAGGACTAATTGTAAGTGTGACAAGGGATATTGATAAACTTCCCAGTGTGCGTGTGGGTTTAGGCTAGGACCCCACAACAGGGAGGACATCCCAGAATCCTGTTAGAAACCTCTATGTCTCCACCATATCTTCGAAATGTACTAATTTTCCCAGAGGCCACTTCTGATTTGTCCTTTTTTTTGCTAAAAGACTGTCTTTCAATTTGGACTCTTACTGCATTTGCTTCACGTCCATCAGTGGAAGAGCTTTCAATCATTTCTGAAGGAGACAAGGGAGCCAGAGTTAATTTAGGGATATAATTAATGTAGACAATAAATAATGCTACCCTTCTGTAAAGGGTTCTATATAAATGTAAAAGGCATCAAAACTGTTGAATACCTAATTAAGATTAATTGGACAACAACAACAAAATTACATTTGTATAGCGCCTTTCACGTCGGGAGGACGTTTCAAGGCGCTGAAAAGCACTGACAATTGACGAGGAGTCAATGAGAGGAAGTATAAAAGGACACTGGGAGTGGGACATAGGGAATGTGATATAGAATGGGGCTTTATTGAGAGGTGTGAAAGACAAAAATAAGGAACATACCACCACATCTGTGACTTGGAGTGAGTTCTATGACAAAAACTGTAACAAATATTCTGGGACCAACTTGGTGTCAAATCACATCATTATTTAGCGCTCCGAGTCTGTATCTCATGTTAAGGGTAAATGCAAGTTGTTGTTGTTGGGGGTTGAAGGTGCAATATCTAAGCAAATTATGGTTTTAGTGCTTACATTTTTTATATTAAAAAAGTGTACATTGCATTTAAACAATGTACATGTTTCGCCCACAAAATACAGTGAATTCACTTTACAGGGTATCCTGTCAAGCGCTTTGAGACGCCTCAATGACGCGATGAGGCACTGTGTCAAAGGCGAGGATTATTATTTAGCATTTAAGGGAATGAGTGCAAAAAGTGCCACGTGATGTTGGTTACAGGGCATTGTAGGCGGTGCCTTGGGTGAGGGGGCGGGGCTGACGCTGCCGCTGTCAATCACTACCCTCGCCTCACACAAGCAGCCAATAAGAGACCGGCAGCGCAATCCGCAGTGCGGCTGCATTGAGGCCCTCGACCAATCACGGCTGCCCTCCTGACACATAGCGTCCGCCAATCACCGTGACGTCACCGGGCCCCGCAATTCAAGTTTGGTTGCAGCAGCCCTGCACGGATTGCGCATGCGCAGTGAGGTTAGGCGGGGTGGGGAGACGGTGATATCGAGGCGCTCAGCCCGTTTAGTCAAGTTAGGTTTCAAGACACGGCGATGGGCATTGTGGGTAACAGAACCCATTCGGTAACTGGCAGCCGCGGAGCTGCTCCTTCTCTTTGTTCCGGTCACTGAGGGGAAGAGATTCGAGAAAAGTCGTCGCCACTTTTTTTTAAAGAAAATTTAAAGATTTTTTTTTAAACTTATAATTTCCCCTTTTTCCTCTTCCCTCCCTCCCCTGCCTTCCTTCCTTCCTTCCTTCCCCTCTTCCCTCTCTTTCTTTTTTTTCTCTTTTAACATTAGATCACTAAATGCGGCCACACTGACGGGGACGGAGTGAAGGTGAGAAGCCGCGGGGCTGTCGGTTTTTTCCACCAAAAAAGTCGTCTTCGCCCGGTCGATCCGTGTGTTTTTACCGTTTGGTCGGTTCCTCGAGGAGCGAGAAGCCGGGCAGGCGGCGCGGCGGCCATTTTGTCGTCGTCTCTCAACTCGAGCCGGGCGCCCGGAGCAGCCTTTGCGCTCTTTAAAATGGCGGCCGGACCCCGCAGAGCAGCGCGAGAGAGACACAGAGAACCGGGGGGGGGGCTATCCTGAGACAAAGGGAGGTGGGGGGAAAGAGAATAGATGGAGGGACTGAGTCGTCGGGGAGACACCGAGGGAGGAGAAAAGAAAGGGAAAAGACGGGGGGGGGGGGTGAGAGGGGGACCGGACCCGGGGGGGGGAGAGAGAGGGAGCCGGGGGGGGACCGGACCCGGGGGGGGAGAGAGGGGGAGCCGGGGGGGGGCGAGAGGGGGGCTATCCTGAGACAAAGAGGGAGCGGGGTGGGGGAAAGAGAATAGATGGAGAGACTGAGTCGTGGGGGAGGCACCGAGGGAGAAGAAAAGAAAGGGAGAAGACGGGAGAGAGAGAGGAGGACCGGAGTCGGGGGGAGACGGAGCCGGGGTGTGGCGGAGAGAGAGAGGGAGCCGGGGGGGAGAGAGAGGGTGGGGTGCGGGGGGGGGGGAGACGGAGCCGGGGGATGGGGGGGGGGGAGAGAGAGAGGGAGCCGGTGGGGGGGAGACGGAGCCGGGGGATGGGGGGGGGGGAGAGAGAGGGGTGGGGTGCGGGGGGTGGGGGGGAGGGGGGGACGGAGCCGGCATCAGCCCCATTGTAAACGTGTTCTCTCCCCGCGGCGCCTCCCGTTTTGGTCTTTCTCTCTTTGGTATTTGAACTTTTTTTAAAAATCCGTTAAATGTCGGCGATTTACGTCAGAAAGAAAATGTTTTTGTGTTTTGTGATTATTTTGGGAGGTTTTGGGAAGCGATTTTTTTTTGTCGGTGCGAGAGCCATTTTGTTCGACGTTTTTATTTGTGTAGAGGGAGGAGATCGGCTTTAGTTTGAAGGAAAATGGCTTTTTCACAAAAAGCATAATTGTTAATAACGTTTGTTAACCTCGACGGCAATCTCGCGCCCCACACACGTCGGGTTTGGTTTTTATGGCATTTTGATTTATGTCCTTTTTTAGTTCTGTTTTTTCCTCACTCATTATTTTAAACTTAAATGTATTTTTGTGTTTTGAAACAAACATGTTCCAATTTCGTATTGTTGGGGATTGAGGAAAATGGTGATTTTTTTTGACCATTAATAAAGATTAACCTTTTTTTTGCTGATTTAATTTTGCTTGATAAATTGGTAAAATGGAAGTTTTCCTCCCACGCCATCTTTTGTATTGTCAATTTTTTTGAAAAACCAAAGGTTGAATTTTAAAAGTACCAGAAGGCAAATGCACCGAAAAAAAACAAGACTGGATATGGTGGTGGGGCGATGGTGTTTTATTGTTGTCCTAAGTCTCCGCTTATTTGCAGACTTTGTCTGTTTTGTGCTTTTAAAATGGAGGACGAAACACAAGAGATGATCGTCGAGAAGCGATACCCAATCCTGTCAGACCCTTGCGGCAAAATACAGTAACACGATTGAGAAATAGTTTTTAATCGTTGTGCGTCATTGGGATTAGAACAAAGCCGGTATTTCGGTCAGAGTTTTTTTGTCTCATTCTTCCGCTTCCCTCCCACCAGTTTGACGAGAGAGAAGGTTGAACTGAGATGGTAATGGGTGGTGCAGCTTTGCTTGTTTTTTTATTGCGTTATGCACCAGGGGAGGGTGCAGTGTGTGACTCAGTGATTTTTATCAGTTCTGTCTCAATGGAAGATGGATTTTTTTTATATATAAGAAGGAAGTTTTAACAATTTAACAATTTTGTATCCTTCGTTTCAGGTAACGTTTTCCCCACCCCTTTTTTAAAATTATTCTTCTTTTGGAAGTTTTTCGTTGTATCAAGCCGCCAAAGTGGAGAGTGTGATTGCAGAAGGGGGTGCTTCTCGTTTCAGGTATGCATTGCATGCTAGCCACGCTTCATTTCAATGTAGGAACATTTTAAAAGTACTTTCCAGGCTACCTTTTTGCTGCAAGCAATGTGGTGTTTGTTAAGCAGCTCAAATTGTGTCACTTTCATTCCTTATTTTCAGATCTAAATAATAAATATTTTTAGGGAAGTGAAGGGTACAATGGTTATTACTGCTCGGGTGTAGAAAGCTCCAGAATACTTTCACAGGAGTACAAATATGCAACAATGAAAGATGTGCACAGTGCTGGGGAAAGTGTAAATCAGTTGTGGGGTTAAGACTAGTGAAATACTAGCACATTTTGTTGAGTTGAACACTGGCAATACAGGAGAATTTTGTGTTTGGTCAGGTAATGTGGATAATCTGATTCAAGTTTTAGCCAAAGCTTGTTTCTTTATTTTTTTTAACCAGTGCTTCTTCGGGCGGAGGAGGAGGTAGGGGTGCACCTCAGCACTGTCCCAAGACTTCCGGCAACAGGTAAGGACCAACTCTGAGAATTTTACATTGGTTTTCCTCCCTTCCAATTTTCCTGAATGCATTGCATTCCCTCTTCGTTCTCTTAGCACAACATTTTACTCATCTCATATAAATGGCTGCTCATATGAGAGTCTAAACACATTTACCAAGTTCCAAACCTGTCCATCCCATCTCCATCTGAGCTGCAGCTCCCACAGCGGCTTTTCATAAACAACAACAACAACTTGCATTTATATAGCACCTTTCATGCTGGATGGCGTCTCGGAACGCTGAACAGTGGGGCAGAGTCTTCGAGATGTTGCATAGATGACTGAAAATATATAAATTATAATTGTTTTGCACATGTCAGATTTGGTTTTGTCCATACAAGTGTATCTTCTGTTTTTCTGTAATTAAAAGTCCCAACAACAATCGACAATAAATTGCATTTATATATTGCGAAATCCTGTAGTACCGTGCTTAGAGCACTCGCCTCGCAAGCTAAAGACCTGGGTTCGATTCCTGGCTGGGTGAAACATTGGGCAAGTTTCCAGTAAGTAGGAAGCTGGTTGTTAGTTGGTTGGTGGATTGCTTTTCCAGGGGTGATATTTCCTTCAAAAAAATTATAATAAATTGGTCACTCAACCGTAACTTTGTGCAACACTGCTGTGCACAATTGGTTGTCTCGTTTTGCCCACAATTCACCTTACGGTATATTCTGTGAAGCACTTTGAGACATCTCGAAGACGTGAGGCGCTATATTAAATGCAAGGATTATTATTATTATTGCCTTTCACGTTGGTCCCAAGTCTCTGAAATGCCTTCAATCTCAAATGTGGTAGGTTGGATAATGGCGAAAAACTCATCAGATGATGACTGATGCTAAACTAGCGGAAGTTTTAAGGATTCATAGAACTGAGAGTGTACAGCACCGAAGGATGCTTTTGATCAATGTGCACCGTCACCTATATAGATCCCTTCGTGCTATACGTGGCTAACTGTGGGTGTCCCTCCCTAGCTATGCCACCATTGGTGGCCAAGGTTTCAGATTCAACGTCTCCTGTTCTCTGGAATGGCCTCTAACTTCCAAGTCCTGCCTTAAAGTGTACCTATTTGACTATTACCTCTCCCACTTGGCATCTGGTCCAATTATAAAGTGCTCCCTTATCCTCCAAGAAGGGCACTATAAATGGATGTCGTCAGGATTCACAAAACTGAGGCTTTTGCAAGTTAAGATGTCAAGATGCTGTTTGGATACAATGCATTTACTTCCAATTTATTGTCTTAATATTCTTGCCATTTGAGATCTATACTTCAAAGTAAAGTTCTGTATATCTATTAACTTAGGTATTTTTAAAAGAAACTTGCTGTATTCAGTGTGTTTATTTTTTTACATTCCTATGTCTCTGCAGCGAGCGCCTGGGGCAATCCCCAGGGCTTAGCGTTCAGAGATGGGATCCTTCACCAAGCACTAAACGAGATGCTAACTCCTTGAATGACAAAGAAAGACAAGATGGAATCTTCAGGAAAGTCAGAGGGTAAGCTGTGAGAACACTAGCTTTCTATTAGTGCAGTAGAGGACTGAATTATAGCTGTAAAATACAATAAGTCAGTAATTCTATATCTTTTTTTAAAAAAAATCCTGCTAAGAAGCTCTGTTCAGAATTATTTTTAGCTTGATTAGCATTTTTCACTCAACATTCTTATTGCTGGAGAAGCTAATAGGTTGAGCATTTTTCAGGAAACAAATTGCAGATGAACACCTCATTCTAATTCAGATTTGCTTATTCCAGTGTTGTAGTGTTGATGCATTTACATACCAATAATTCCAGTTGCACATGCCTGGTCCATTGGTCCCCCCTACCTCGGCGACCTCCTAGCCCTGTACCAACATGCCGGCTCCCTCCGCTCAACGGGCTGTGGCCTGCTTCACATCCCCCACCTTGCCAGCCCCACCATTGGCGAGTGGGCTTTCTGCCACTACCCCACCCTTTGGAACTCAATCCCGCAGTTTGCGCCTTGGCCCCTCCCTTGCCTCCTTCAAGACTTTCCTCTGAAGTGTGTCATTGTAATGATGCTTTGGCTTGTGGGTCAATTTGAAATAACTTTGTTGAGGGAAGATTGATCTAGGTCATAAACTATATACGCAAAGAATTGTGGACAAATTTTGTTGTGAGATGTGCAAGATCCTGATAACTTCACCTAGCATTTTTTTTTAATTTTCAGCATTTTGAACAAGCTTACTCCAGAGAAGTTTGACAAGCTATGCCTTGAGCTCCTCAATGTGGGTGTAGACTCTAAATTGGTCCTTAAAGGGATCATTTTGCTGGTGAGTTGATTAAGAGCAGAAAACTGATGACTTGTGCGGACATCCCATTTTTCAATTATAACCTATGAATCTCTCCTGTCAGTATGAGTCTTAACTGCATTCATAAAGCCCCTGGCATGTGCTCAGAATAAAATTATTTTGTTTTTAAATTTCATTACATTTTGTAATGAATTTCCATCTATCAGTATCCTTAACTTAATGATTTTGCTTGAGCTCTTAAGGTTCTGCAGTTTTAATAATGTAAATTGTGTACGCTAAGATTCATAAATGTTGGTTGGGCTAACTGCAGGTGATTCTGAAAGCCTTTTTCTGTAATTGCATATTTAAGGACATCTATCTGAATCTGACTTCAATTTGAATCCGTTTTCTTGGTGGTATTCATGCAAATTGGACTTTACACTTCTAAATATTGTTGATCCTTCAGCTGCAGTTTACGAACATGGCTCTCGATCTGTAACCCAGTGTGTCTTTCTGAAAGACACTGAGATGGATATACAGCTGTGCATGGTGTATTGTTGAAAGAAAATCTTGTAATATTATTTCTGTGTCTCTTAACAGATAGTAGACAAAGCCCTTGAAGAGCCCAAGTATAGCTCACTGTATGCTCAGTTATGTCTGCGCCTGGCGGAGGATGCTCCTAACTTTGATGGCCCATCTCCAGAGGGCCCGCTGCAACATCACAAGCAAAGCACGGTAACTTTCTCCTGAAATAATCCCGTTACTTGTTTGGAAACCTTTTTGTGCCAAGAACTGAAGCTGCTTTTGTATTTGTATTATTGACCTTGTTTTTCTTGCAGACATTCAGACGCCTTTTAATTTCAAAACTTCAAGATGAATTTGAAAACCGTACACGAAATGTCGATAGTGAGTATTCACTTTTATTTGATGATTTAAGGATTGGTTTGATTTGGTTTTGTACCATACTATAAGGTTCACCAGAAAGAGACTTTGCTCAGGCCAAGTGGTGAATTAAATGTTTTATTTAACACATGCAACATAGTTAGTTAATGCTTTAACAAATGTAAGTTTTCTACAGTAATTGCATTAAAGTAATAAGAATCAACTCGATCCTGTTGGGGTGGAATGCTGACCACCAGCGTTCATTTAGACCTCATTTTAGCCATGTGACCCTTACAACCAAAAATGGAATGCGAAGGTTGTTGTCTAATCATATCCAAAGTTTGTTTAGCCAAACCTATCCCCGAACTGGTTCATCTAATCGTCTTCACATACATGGGGTTGTCATATTTTTAACCTCAAAGGAATTTGGAGATTCTCTGGTACCAAGTGTGAAAAGTTCACATCACACTCAATTGTCTTAGTTGACAGCTTCAAGCTGTAAAATGCTTTCAAGACCTTTTTTCCACCAGACGGCAAGGCACCAAGAGTTCAATCAAGACCAGATCCCATCCAAAGGATATCACATACTCTTAATTTTGTAAATATTGACACAGCCAACATTTAGTTGATTGTAGTCTACTTTAGACAAGACTGTTGTAGATTTTGGTCCCCTTAATTGATTGTAATCTACTTTAGACAAGACTGTTAGGCACCAATCTTCCAAATAAGGAAAGGAACAACACTCATCCATCAAGTTTTGATCAAACCGGTCAGAACCCAAACAAAGACCTCAACTCCCCATTCTGGTCCAAATTCTATAACCCTAACCTTAAGATCAATCAACGTATTGCTCATAGTCCTTACAAACATGTTGGGTATCAAAAAATGATTTTGACTATAATCTTACATTATTGTACATTTTTTCTTAATGTCTATTTTCAATCTAGTCTATGACAAACATGATGGCCCTCTCTCAAGTGAAGAGGAAGAGCAACGGGCTATTGCGAAGATCAAGATGCTGGGAAACATCAAATTCATTGGGGAGCTTGGCAAACTTGATCTTATCCATGAATCTATCCTTCATAAGTGCATCAAAACAGTACGTTTTATTCATAAAGTTTTCAGCTCTAGGAATGATAGTTAATCAATTGTTGCCTATGGGCACTATTGTGTATAGGTGTCTTTTTTTAAAAAAGACGTTGCAGTTGACATAGAAGAATGACTCAGGTTATTGTCTAGTCTAATTCTAACTGCTTATAGAATTGTAAGTGTGTCAACTTTTTAGCTTTTATTAAATGCAATGTTAGCTATTTAAGAATAGTATACTCGAATAAATCATACTAATGTTAAGTTTCTTTAATTAAACCAGCACAAATACATGGAGCAAAGTTTTATTATTGGATTGAACTAATCTGATCATTTCGGTCATTTTTTTCTGTTTAGCTTTTGGAAAAGAAGAAGAGAGTTCAACTTAAGGATATGGGGGAGGATTTGGAGTGCCTCTGTCAGATAATGAGGACAGTAGGACCTAGACTAGACCATGAAAAGGCCAAGGTATGTTTATATATTTTAGCAGTTGCTGCAAACCCTTTCTGGAGCTATTAGTTCCCCATTCATTTTGGGGAGGTATAAACTATTTCAACTTGTGAGAGAGAGACGGTAAAGGGAGTCTTGTACAGAACTCTAGGTTTTCTTCTGATATCTTGCTTGCCAAAGTTGATACCTTCATTTAAATTGGAAGAATCAGTAAACATTTAGGCTGAAGTATTGTAACCTGGAGTTTAATGTGAAATGATTAATTCTCAATTATAAACAATTTGTTTTGATTGCAGTCTCTAATGGATCAGTACTTTGCCCGGATGCGTTCCTTGATGTTAAATAAGGAATTGCCAGCTAGGATTCGTTTCCTGCTGCAGGTAACTTATGTTACTTTGTGCACTTGCTTTTTAATTAAATGTTGACCCTGGTTAACTAGCCTTTTTATGATACAGGATACTGGGGAGTTGCGTGCGAATCGGTGGGTTCCTCGCAAGGCTTTTATTGATAATGGACCAAAGACGATAAACCAGATTCGTCAAGAAGCAGTAAAGGTGGGTTTTCAAATTAAATTTACTCTCGCTTACTCCAGAGGGCTTAGATTGTTCCAGATTCCATTAACTCTGCATTTTATACCATGCAGGATCTGGGAGTTTTTATTCCGCCGTCTATGGCTCATGGAATGAGGAATGACTTCTTTCTGGAGGGACCTTTTATACCACCGGGAAGGAAATTTGACAGAGACCCACTTGGAGGACTTGCTGATATGTTTGGACAAATGCCAGGTAACCAGGCTGTGTTTTTGGTATTCTTTAATGATGGATGTCAGTGTAGCCGTTTACGTCAATGCCTAATTTGCCTTTCAGCTTTTGCAGTCTTATGTATCATAATTTTTTTTGTCTTGTGAAGGTAGCGGAATTGGAACTGGTCCAGGAGTAATTCAAGACCGATTTTCACCTACCATGGGGCGTCATCGTTCCAATCAACTTTTTAATGGGCATGGGGGACATGCACCTCCTCAGTCACAGTTTGGGGAAATGGGAAACAAGTCTTTCCTTAAAACTAACCAGGTGAGCGAGCGGGTGTGGAGACCATTTATTTGATAAATAAATTTTCTACAATGTCATTGTTGGTGATGGATGGGCATTTGTAGCACGCGAATAGATGAAGGTAAGAAATTTATATATAAAAAACACAGAAGTTCTGCAGATGCTGGAAATCTGAAAACAAAAACAGAAGTCGTTGGGAACACTTAGCAGGTCAGGCAGCATCTATGGAGAAAGGAAAATGGGTCAACGTTTCAGGTCCACGACCCTTCATCAGAACTGGGGCATGTTGGGAGGGAGAAGCTTTTAAGGCTCACAGATGGGAGCGGCAGGGCAAGGAAGACAAAGAAGAAAATCGGGTAGAGGACGGGATGATGAGTTAAAGAGGTGTTAATGATGCAGAACAAAGGGTGGGGGGTGGTGGAGAAGACCTTGCAACACACCAGGCAGATCAGGGAGAGAAATGGTGTATCTGGAACCAAGATGATGAAAGTAATTTCAACTCTTCCTCACACTCTGACCTCTCCATCCAGTCTTGTACGCTGTTCCAATGAGCCTCAGCGCAAGCTCAAGGAACAGCACCTCATTTATCTGCTAGGGACCGTACAGCCCCTGTACGCCATTCTCTACCCCATTTTCTCCTTTGTCTGCCTTGCCTCACCCCTCTCGGTTAGCCCTTAAAAAACAACATACCCCAGTTCTGACGAAGGGTGGTGGACCTGAAACGTTGACTTTCTCCATAGATGCTGCCTGACCTGCTCATGTTCCAGTGACTTCTGTTTTTGTAAGGAATGTATATACAGATTATATACACCAAATAATCTGAGGAGCACTTCTTCATTTCCTCATAATTTGAATAGCTTGTCAACTACTATTGCCTTTTTTGGGGTGGTGGGGAGCAAGTGTTCCTACTTTTCCCCATGGTGGATTTAGAGTAACTCTTGGTTGCTACTCCCTATCCTACAAGAAATCCATATAACTACAGCTGTTGACTTGTTGCTTGGTCGCAGGTGAGCAGTTTGACCTCTGGAATTCACAGGACGTGTATATTTTGAATGTTGGCTACAAGAACAGAGGAATTGGGTTCCTAATAATCAATTAGAAAATTTAACATCTTTGTCTCCATAAAATGGTCCATCAAAGAAGACCCTCTTTACACTTATCTCCTATCCAGAAATTTTACTTTCAGTGGAATTGATTCCCAGTTTAGGCCTTCGCTAGATTGACCTTGCTGGGATAAATGCAATCAAAAAGACACAGCCTTGTTTGAGGCAGCTGTAACAGCTTTGCTGTTTCATCAATCTGGTTGAGAACAGATGACTGGAAATGTGATAATGTGGTACAGATCTGGATGAGCACAATTCTACTGGTACCATAATAAATGGCTTGCTGTCAGTGAAAATCAACAACAAAATTCTATTTGTATAGTGCCTTTCACATCAGGAGGGCATCCCAAAGGCCTGGACAGTCGAGGAGTAGCACCTGAAGTTGGAGTTGAAATCAAAGAGGGGTGGAGGTCAAGGGGGCTTGGAGGATGATCAAGGGCATGGACAAAAAGGGAGGTCTTGAGACTGGCTTTGAAGCGGGTGAGGTGAAGGGAATCTGGGTGGAGTGCCAGAGGGTAGATATCGAAAGGTTGAAGTGCTGACTTCTGGTGTTGGAGCAGGCCTGGCCAGTGGAGAGAGTGGGAGGTAAGGTTTTAGCAGATCGCAGAGGGGCAACCAGTGGAAGACTAAGAAAGCAAGATCAAGGATTAAACTCAATCCTTCGAGGGATGGGAAGGGGAGCCAGTGACCCCAGGTGAGGATGGGGGTACTTGGTGCAGGAGAGGACATGAGCTGCAGAGATCTGAATAACCTTCAACTGATATTGGGGGCAGTTTTCAACCTTAGTAATTCCATGTCTTTGTTCTGGGCTCCGGTTGGGTTCCATGTAAAAGTGATATCTTACGTTGATTACATTGTGAAATCCCAATGACTGACCGATTTGATGAAGGAAAGATAAATTCCTTCAAAGCAATATTGTAATATTTGAAACTAATGTTTAATTGGGCAAAATTGAATGAATGCTACCTTTGAGTTGAGTTTTTGCAGTAACTCAGTTCTTGGTTTTGGAATCTTGCTCTTGTGTATTTGAGAATATTGGGACCTCTAATGTTGCTATTCAATTTCACTTATCTCAAGTGCTCTTTTGCCAGTATATTTAAATGAGTTGTTGCCAACTGAAGAGTTTTTCCATAGGTACAGGACACTTAAAATATCTGAAGTGTTGTGCACATCTGCAGGCCAGATTGAGCGGTAAACCAGGGACTTTAAATGACTGGTTGGAGTGCATTCATGAGGCTGTCCGTGTGTCTGTTGATTCAAGCCACAAGACTGAGATTTCCTGCCAGTTCGGATCTCTGGAAATATGCTTTTGAGCTCTAGCATCTGATACACAGGAAAGCACTGGGAGATGTTGAGTCCATGATGTGCTCAATTGCTGGTTGAGTATGTTTGTCCTGTTAAAGGCTAAATCTGGCAAAGCGAGTGTTGAAACAAGGTGACAGTGTTCTATTGCAAGCTTTATCATGGATACAACCAGGGACATTCATATTATCAACCAACAGAATCCAGGGACATGCTTCCTCGGTTCATAAAGAACATACAAAAAATACTACACGATAAAAGAGCATTTAGTTCGCCTGCCACCTTTCTGGTGGTCTCATGCATATATGTCCTGAATTATCTATGTAGGTAGGACAGTTCAATGCAGATGAGGTAATCTGGATGGATTCAATGTTCATTACCCACTAATTCTGAAAGCCTTATTATTGCAAAGATAATACTGGCAGGCCATTGCGCCATTTTTCTTCGCTATTCACTTTTCTCTTTATCTCAGGATAATCTCAGGATAATCCTGGAGGCGAAGAACAACCCCAGGCTACTGTTTTCCACCACAACCCGACTCCTCCGTCCCCCCCGCCACCCCGCGCAGGTCATCTCCTCCAACCTTCACTGCGAGGAGATGCTGGATTTCCTTGAATCCAAGATCAAGGGAATCCGCTCCGCGGTCACTTCCCCTCCAACTTCCACCCACCACCCACCCCTTCCCTCCCACACTCCGACTCCTACCCATCCTCCCCTACACACCTTCGTACCCGTTTCCCCACCACCTGTCACTGAACTCATCCTATCCCTAAAACCAGCCACCTGCTGCCTTGACCCCATCCCCACTCCACTCCTTATCTCCCAGCTCCACTTTCTTGCCCCACATATCACTGACATCATCAACCTGTCCCTCTCCTCTGGCTCTGTCCCCATTCCATTAAAAACTGCCATCATCACGCCCACCCTGAAAAAACCCTCCCTTGATGCGTCGCAGCTATCAAGTTACCGGCCCATCTCCAACCTCCCCTTTCTCTCCAAGGTCTTGGAAAGAGTTGTCGCCTCCCAACTGCGCTCTTTCCTTTCCACCCATTCTCTTTTCGAACCCCTTCAGTCAGGTTTCCGTGCTGCCCATAGCACAGAAACTGCCCTGGTCAAGGTCACCAATGATATCCTGACCATCTGTGACCAGGGCTCCCTCTGTCTCCTCGTCCTCCTCGACCTATCGGCAGCATTCGATACGGTCGACCACGCTATCCTCCTCCACCGCTTGTCCTCCCACCTCAACCTTCAAGGCACTGTCCTTGAATGGTTTAGGTCGTACCTTTCTCACCGTCTTCACTTTGTCTCGACGAATGGCTTCTCCTCCACCCCCCGCACTGTCTCATGTGGTGTCCCTCAGGGCTCTGTCCTTGGTCCCCTCCTCTTCACCCTCTTTATGCTCCCCCTTGGTGACATCATCCGCAGACATGGAGTTAACTTCCACATGTATGCGGATGACACCCAACTCTACCTTTCCTCCTCTACTCTCAACTCCACGACCACCGATGTCCTGACAGCTGCCTGTCCGACATCGAGTCCTGGACGAGAGACAACTTTCTTCAGCTCAACGTGCGAAAAACCGAGGCCCTCCTGATTGGCTCACGTCAGCGCCTCCGCACCTCAGGCGCTGACACCATCAGCATCCAAGGCTGCACTCTCCACCTCTCAAAGCCAGTCAGGAACCTCGGGGTTTTGTTCGACCCTGAGCTGTCCTTTCTCCCTCACATCCGCACCACAACTGGCACCGCCTTCCATCACCTCCGGAACATCGCCAGACTACGGCATTACCTCACCCCTCACGCGGCTGAAACCCTGGTTCACGCCTTTGTCACCTCAAGGCTGGACTATGGGAACTCTCTCCTCGCCGGCCTTCCCGCCACCTCCCTCCACAAGCTGCAGGTCATTCAGAACTCTGCAGCTCGTGTACTGTCCCGCACCAGGCTTCGGGACCACATCACTCCCACCCTCGCTCGCCTCCACTGGCTCCCCATCCCCCAGAGGATTGATTTCAAGATCCTCATCCTCACCTATAAGGCCATCCACGGCCTTGCTCCCTCCTACCTCTCCAACCTACTATCCCCCTACCTACCTGCCCGTACCCTCCGTTCCTCTGGCTCCGGTCTGCTCCACGTCCCCCGCCCCAACCGCCCTACCATCGGTGGTCGGGCCTTCAGCCTCTCAGCCCCCAGGCTCTGGAACTCCATCCCCCAGTGCCTTCGCCGCTTCTTCCCTTTCCTCCTTCAAGGCCGGTCTCAAAACCTTTCTCTTTGACCGAGCCTTCAGCTCCCCTCTCGACTCTCTTCCCCCTCCTCGCTCCCTCCCTTCCCTCCCCTCACCCTGACCATTTCCCCCCTCCTCGCTCCCTCCCTTCCCTCCCCTCACCCTGACCATTTCCCCCCTGCTCGGGTCATGACCCAACTGTGCAGCGCCTTGGGACGTCCTCCTGACGTGAAAGGCGCTTTATAAATCGAATCTTGTTGTTGTTGTACTTCTGTTTGCCTAGGATGGTGCAGTGTCCTTTGTGTGATATCAGTTGAAGGAAACTACAATTGACCTGTCTGAAAAGGGTTAGCAGATATTGAAAAGATATTGCAATTGTTATAAAGTTGTGCACCACCGGGTTCACTTGCATTGAATGTTGATCAGTATATTGTAGAAAATCTTTCATTATGATAAAATTTTATTTTCTTTACAGATCAGTTTGAGGCCTGCACAGTCTTTTTTGATAAATAAAAATCAGGTGCAAAAGCTTCAACCACAGACTCCAACTATGATCCCACCAAGCGCGCAACCACCTCGTACTCAAACACCACCCCTGGGACAGGTAAGCTGTATTTATTAGTAATAAATTGAATGGTCAAGCTTTATGCAAAATTCGCTTGCAGATTCCACTTTTTTAAAGAAAACTCTACAATTGAATGAATGTGCATATTGAACTGGCAAGATGTACTTATCATAGCTTGAATATTCAACTGCCTAATCTGTAGTACTTGTAATTGCATGATAAACTACAAACTGTTGATATTGAACTCTTATTAAAACTTTAGTAATGTGTGTATTATCTGTTAGCCACCCCAACTAGGTCTCAAAACAAACCCACCCTTAATCCAGGAGAAGCCTGTAAAGAACAAGAAAGCTCCTTCCAAGGAAGAACTGCTGAAATTGACTGTGAGTAAATGTTTGATGTGCAATCAATTTGGAGCCATATCTTTTTATTTCAGTTTTGCACATCTGAAGTGAGATTGGTCAAATTTCACTACTTCGACAGATTTACTTTTTTGTTGCACATGGGACCAGTTGGTGTAATGTTAGAAAGGGAGTTTGAATTTAAAAGATTAAGAAGACAATTGGCTGGTGCAGACTTCTATATTTGAAATCAAGACTAAAATGTTTGCTCCTGTAAATAGTGATTTAAGAAGAAATTCAGCATGAATGTTTTTAATCATAATTGTAGAGAGTTTACAGCTCACATGGAATGCTGCTAATTTCATTCCCTTTTCCTGTACTATATTAAAAGAAAAATTGTGTGTGTACCCTTGTTTACGGTTTTCTAAGATCTTGGCAATTTCCTGTTGTGGAGCACTGACTGCAATAACTTTTTAGTATAGATTTTGAAGCTGCTTATCGCAGGGGGATGTTACTCCTATGGAATAATTTAAAATACCAGTGTTTCTGTTCCTCGATCCGTATTGAAGTTACCGTTTCTTATTCAATGCATTGGCTGACCTTTTGAATCTTATTTATTTTGTTTATAGGAGACTATCCTGACAGAGTATCTGACTTCTATTAACATTAAAGATGCTGTTAATGGTGTGAAGGAAATGAGGGCACCAAAGCCTTTCCTGCCAGAGATGTTGAGCAAGATGATTGTTTATACTCTAGATCGTTCGGATGAGGATAAAGAACAAGCCAGCACCCTGATAAACGCACTCAGACAGGAAGGGCTAGTTGCAGGTGAAAACTTCATGCAAGTAAGTTAAGGTGTCCTGGTGAAGTTTATTGAAATTAATCCTTTGGGATTATGTTAGAGGAGATTAACAATGAGGAGGAAGACTTGTTTTTAAGAATAATTTAAACCTTTTAGACGAGCCACAATATTGTGTTCTTGCAAGTTAAGTATTTTAATGTTTTATGATGATACCATTTTACCTTTTTAACACAGGCTTTCCTGAATGTATTGGACCAGTGCCCCAAACTGGAAGGTGATATCCCTCTTGTAAAATCCTATTTAGCTCAATTTGCAGCACGTGCCGTCATCTCTGAACTTGTGAGTCTTTTGGAACTGGCTCAGCCCCATGAGAATGGGACACATTTCCCTCTCTTTCTACTCTGCCTGCAGCAGCTTGCCAAATTGAAAGATCGCGAGTGGCTTACAGATCTCTTCCAACAGAGCAGAGTCAACATGCAGAAAATGCTGCCAGGTGCGTGTATGTCAAGCGCTTAGACCTGCCCCGCGTGAAGGCGCTTATCAATGCAAGTTGTTGCAGGTGAAGGACAAAATGGTGATAAGTAAAAATTGGGAAATAATTCAGTACATCTGCCTTGCTAATCTCTTTAGAAAGAGAAATTGCAAAATATGCAACTGCAATAGTAGGCAGTTACAGTAAACTGATAACTTGACCCTGACTTGTCACTACCAGGTGACAAGCTATCATGATGTCAATATCCTGGTTGCATTTCTTTATGTATTTATCCATATTGCCTTCATTGATCACTTGAGCCATAATTCCCTTGACTGACGAGTTATCAGGAGTTTAGTGCAATTCAGAATTGCTTAGTGTCGCCTGTCTTGTTTAACCTCTATTTGGTCCTAGTATATCACCTAACTTTTTTTTCTGATCAATAGAGATTGACCAGAATAAGGATCGTATGTTGGAAATCCTGGAGGGCAAAGGACTTAGTTTCCTCTTCCCATTACTAAAACTAGAGAAGGAATTGGCAAAACAGATCAAGAATGACCCATCCCCTCAGGCCATTTATAAGTGGATCAAAGATAACATTTCTCCCAAATTGCATACCGATAAAGGATTTGTCAACATTCTTTTAACAAGGTGAGTGTGTGTTTCTGGATAATCCTTTATTTGGAATATGTTAGATTAGTCTCGCATTCACATGGCAGAGGTATTAAGATTGTTCATTGGCTGGATTGAAAGTCTCTTGTGGTGCAGCCAGACTTTCCATTAAAAATCTGTTTTTTTTTATATGTTGTTGGTCGGGTGTGCTTTTTTCCTGACCAACCACAGCCAACACTTTGTAATGCGTTTACATTGCCATTTGACAGATATTTTTGCCTTAGTATATTGTTGTGCTGTGTGGAGCAAGTTTAAAAACAAGGAATTCTGGACAAATTGGTGTCTTGTGTTCCGTTTACAGCTTCTTGCAGTATATTTCGAAGATGGCTCCTGCAGAAGGAGGCGATCCGACTGGCATACCTTCCAAAGAGCTGTTAGAACAGGAGAAGCAGCTTCTGCTCTCTTTTAAGCCAGTAATGCAGAAATTCCTGCACGACCACACTGAGCTGCAGGTTAGCGCTCTATATGCATTACAGGTGCACTGCTACAATCATAACTTTCCAAAAGGTAAGTCTCTTTACAGTGTTTTTTTTCAGTGACCAGTCTGTTGATTTGGGAGACTGCGAATTTTATTGATATCTTTGTTAGATGTTACTTTTGTTTCTCTTGCTCCCAGCATTACTATTTGTTACTGATGTGTTCAGTTCTGGGCATCACATTTTAGGAAGGATGTCAAGGAGGGGATTCGATAGGGTGAACAAGGAGAAACTATTTTCACTGGTGGCTAGGTCGGTAACCCAAGGGCACCGATTTAAAATAGTTGTTAAAAGAAACAGAGTGGGAGTGAGGAGAAATTTTTTCACACAGCGAATTGTTCAGATCTGGAATGCATTGCCTGAAAGGGTGGTGGAAGTTGATTTGATAACAGCTTTTAAGTAAGTAGATAATTATTTGGGGAGCACAAGTTTGCAGGGCTATGGGGAGAGAGCAGGGGAGTGGGATTGAATTAGATAACTCTTTTCAAAGAGCTGCCACAGACATGATGGGCTGAATGACTTCCTGTACTGTATAATTCTATGATAAGAATTTGGATAGATAATTTAATCATTTGCTAAAGGCTTGACCAAATGCTTTTTGTCTTGATCTTGTGTGTTAATAGATACCCAAAAATTATTTTTTCAGGTATGTTGCTGCGCTTTTTTGTGAACTTCTATGACATGGAGATAATTGAAGAGGAAGCCTTCTTAGCCTGGAAAGAGGATATCAGTCAGGAATTCCCAGGAAAGGGCAAAGCTTTATTCCAGGTAACTAGGGCAATGGAAGAGTTCTGCTTTCAAGTGTTTAGATTTCCGGGTGAATGTTGCATTTGATATTCAAGGGATACTTTTCCTAGCACATCGTGATGACACAATTTTTAAAGTGCTTGTAACTTGTCCAAATCTGGCATTTTAATAAATTGCCAGTTTCCCCATTCAGGCTTAAGTAGTATACTCTAGCTGATCTGTACATTTTGTAGATCGATAAATTCAACTGAATACTAACTCGTATTGTGGTCTGATTTGTGCAGGTGAATCAGTGGCTAACCTGGTTGGAAACTGCTGAGGAGGAAGAATCTGAGGAAGAAGAAGGTGACTGAAAACCAGCCAAAGCCTTAAATTGTGCAAATATACTGTTGCTATGATGTAACTGCGTTTTGACCTTGCGACTGCAAAGATTCATTCCGCTATTTGCAGCATTTACCGCAGAAGCATGTTCATAGCTAAATTTCTTCTGCATACGCCTAGTGTATGTCTTAAGCGTAGGAAACCATTGAATCCCTTAGGTTACAGTACCTTTTTTAGGCAACTTAATGATCTCTGAATAGCACATGATAACTGAACCCTAAATTCATTCAGTTCAAGCAGTAGTTTAATAAAGATGATGCTATTGGCTGCTGTTCTACATGTATTGGTTGGTAACAAACTGAATAGACACTGTAGGAATGCACTTTGCTCAACAAAATACTTGAGTCGTTGCAATATTTGATTATCTCTCAGATTATTAAAGAACCTAAAATAAATTGGAAACTGTAATCAGTGGGTTGCAGCTGTAACATTAATTGCCTGAATTTCTACCTCTAGTATTGGGCTTTATTTTAAGGTATGTACCAAGGTCAACTATGCTTAAATCCTACATCCTGGGCAAGTGCACAAGTCTTTAATCTCTAGTTTACTTGCACAATGTTAAATTGTGACGTGGTAAAATGACCTTACAGTTAAGATGGAAACTTTCAATGGTGAGATTAATGGAACTAACCTTTTGGTCCCCTTGTATGTGTAACGAAATGAAGCCTGCTTAATTTATCAAGTCGTGTTCACTACTTGTTCACATGCCCTGATTTTATATACAAGTTACTTGTATCTATAATAAACATTGTGATACTTGAAGCATTACTTTGTCTGTCAATTTATTTGAGTGGTGCTATTTGATGTAACCCTTGCTAGGCTGAATCTTTGTGGAGCATCTTTAGTCTCCACCACCACCTTCATTGGGCATGGGTTTCATTGTATGATCGATCATAAGGGTTTTCCCATTTTGCCTCACTTGCCAATGGTCCTTTCCTGTGGAAATCTGAGTTTGTAAAGACCTGTAGAGGCAAAGACCACAGCAGGTAGTTAACATTTCCAGAAATGTAGAAAAATGTATCATTCTGATTGACTTGTGTGCCTTCAATTTTAACCCATTCTAGAATAAGGGAGATGTGGGGTGGGATTGGATGTAGTTAGTCAAAGAACCTCACATTGACTCTGAATAAACTACATCTTGATAAGGTTGCCACAAATTCTGTGATTAGCAAGTTGATTATTAATTACTTGGATTGTCGCCTTCCAGTGCAAAAGATGTCCTGGAGCAAACTTTCCAATATTCAGTGTTGGAATTCATAGAAGTTAAAGATCAGAATCGGGCCATTCAGACTATCAATCTTCTAGTCCTGTATTCTGACCCTTTTCCCGAATTCCTCAACTTCATTCTCACAACATGGTTCAGTCTTTATTTGAATGTGTGCATGGTTGCTGCTCCAACAACTGACTGGCTTCATTTTTCAATACAATCAAAATTTTGACTGCAGGTCAAAATTTTCAGTCCTCTGAGAAGGGGAAAAAATATTGTCTTGAATTTCATGTTCATTGAATTTCAGCCTATTTATATCAGCCATAGAGAAATTATTTACAGGATTCCTTTCCATAGTCAAACATTGCTATTTTGTTGTGTGCCATACCCATATCTCACCAGTTCTGGCCAGGCTCCACTGCCCCATCACCAAATGGATCGACTTCAAGATCGTGTTTAAATCCATTCACTCTCTGACCTCCTTACTCCCCAATCCACCACCTGGTGACTCCGCTCGACTGGCACCAGCCTCCTGCTTGTCCCTTGTACCGTCCACACCACCATCGGAGGTTGTGCTTTCAGCCACTTGCCTTCCAAATTTTGGAACACTTCTTCAATCCCTCCTTCTTGCCTCCCCCTTTCAAGACCCGCCAGAAAACTTTACTCTTCGACTGTGCTTATGGCCACCTCCCCCCTACAATGTATTTGGTCCAAGGATTGTGGGTGGTGGGCAGGAGCAGAGATTTAATTCATGGTAGCTAGGGTTTTCAGTAAAAGGACTTTCTTGTGTGCTTCTAGCCAAAGGTATAAAATGAATAGTACAGGAACTTGCAGCTAATGATATTGAAACACAGATGGACAGAGTGGGTGGGAGGAGTTCATTAGAATTCTGCAAATTAAAATCCAGTGCACTTTATGTCGGAGACACCTGGAAATAGTTCTTTATGCAGAGAAATCAAGTGTCATGGATTATCACTGGAATGGGTTATTGGATGAGTGCTGGAGATAGGTCAATGGGCTCATTTAAGAAGATGCTGGGTAATGGTAAAGAAGTAGGATCTGTATTCCAGAAGGGTAAGATTAAATGGCTTGAAGGACTTTCTCCATCTGAACTTCTTTCATGAGCTTGTGATATAGAATTGGGTCTTGAATGATGTTAATTTCAGACAGCTTCTCCCCCCCCCCTTCTTCCCAGCACAAGCATCCCTTCAGCTGGAGTGAAGGAAGCGTTTTGAGTCATGAAAGTCACAACATAAAGTATCGGAGATAACAGAAGAGCCAAGAACAAAAGAAAAAGACCATCAGAGAATTGCAGGTTCAGGACTAACTGGTCTGCCAGAGAGATACAGGAAGAACTTGAATTTTATTGAGCCTTGAACCTTTGGGTTTCACCGGTAATTACTCTCAAGTCCAGCAACACTGACAGCTGCACAACTCGTACTGCCCGAGACTTTGCTGTATACACAGTGACCCCGGGTGGGAGGTGTGAGCATGTGCACGAGGTGTGGCTGTGTCATCTCCCTATTTAAATTGAATTAGAAAGCTGCTTATCCACATTGGAAGCCCAAAGTAGTGAGAGTGAGGCTGCGATATTGCTGAGCATGTGATGTTATCAGGTACACAATGTTTCCTGAAGGGAGTTTAGAGAGACGCGAGCACACATCTGACAGTCACTATGTTTTCATATCCACAATGGAGCTGGCTCGGGGTTGCTGGGGCTGGTTCGGACTTGCTGCGGTTTGTTCGGTATTGCTGGGACTGAATCGGGGTTGCTGGGGCTGGTTCCGGTTTCCTGGATCTTGTTCGGGGTTGCTGGGATTCGCCTTCAGCCTCTCAGCCCCGAGGCTCTGGAACTCTATCCCCAGTGCCTTCGCCGCTTCCTCCCTTTCCTCCTTCAAGGCCGGTCTCAAGACCTTTCTCTTTGACCGAGCCTTCAGCTCCCCTCTCGACTCTACCCCCTCCTCGCTCCCTCCCTTCCCTCCCCTCACCCTGACCATTTCCCCATTGCTCGGGTCCTGACCCAACTGTACAGCGCCTTGGGACGTCCTCCCGACGTGAAAGGCGCTCAATAAATGGAATCTTGTTGTTGTGATCTGATTTGGAGTCCTGTGGCTCAGTGGTGAGAGCACTCGCTTTGCGAGTGAGAGACCTGAGTCCAGTCCCCGGGGGGTCAGTCAGGGCCAAACCTCGGGGCAGTTTCCTCACTCCACACAGAGCCTAATAATAATCCCTCCAAAACCCAAAACAATAATAAATTGGTCATTTTCAATCCACGACTGTTTGTGGGACATTGCTGTGCGCAATTGGCTGCCGTGTTCGCCCACAAATATACAGTCAATTCACTTTACAGTGCATTCTGTGAAGCACTTTGGGATGTCCTCCCAACGTGAAAAGCGCTATATTAAATGCAATGATTATTATTATTATTATTTGATGGTGTGTTTGATGGGGTCTCTGTACCATTCGATAGGAAATTCCAGGAAAGTGTGAATTCTCTGAAGTAATGAATATAAACGCTGTGAATTCTCTGAACCCTCCAACAGCCCAAGTGATGATACTGACTGTTTGCAGCTGTGAAGGGAGGACATTCAACTGGACCTCGTTAGGAATGTGATTTGCTCATTGGCCACAAGTCAAACCTGAATCTTTGGGTATTTAACCCGAAGACTGAGTTCAGTCAAATCATTGTAGGAAGAAGTCACCTCATCAGCTCAGAGAGAGCAGATGAGTTGCTGGAGGCTTGTGGTTCAGAGCAGTGAAATGGTCAGTTTGTGTGGTGGCGCTTGGCTCAGGCTGTTCTCTCTATGGACTATATCAGGTAAGTTTGTATTTGTGAGAACCTTCTGATGGGCTGTAAATTGTCAGTAATGTTTGTGAAGGTAAGTTGTCCAAACCTTGGGTGTTGTCAGCCCTGTGAGCTTCAGCGACATTACCGCTGTCCACCTGCTCTCCATGTCAATTGTGAGCAACTCTTGGCCAGTTTGGCTTCTCCTTTTATTGTGTAATTTGTCTCAAAAACAATTGCTATTATTTCATTCCTATCTGAAGGATGTAGACAACTCCCACCAGAGTCTTCCCTCCTTTGCTGTTCCTTAATTCTACCCATAGTGTTTCTATGGTCTGATCACCTGTTCTTTCAATCTACTGCTGTACTTCAGTGTTATCCATATTGTTCCCCTCCTTTCCCAATTTTCCTGTTCTTTCCACAGATCTTACAGCCTGGAACATTTAGCTCCCAGTAATTTCTGGCTTGGAGCCAGGTCTCTGTAATGACTACTACATCAGACCCTTTAAGCTGAATTTGTGTTTCTAACGTGTTGTATTTTTTATGGTATGTATTTGTGGACAGACACTTAAGATAACTGTCCTCATTTGCCCATATGACCCAATGGTGTTTTGTCATTTTTTTTATTTCCTAAAAAACATTTCTCTTTCTGGAGAAATTGAGTTATTTATCACTTTTTGTTTTCTACTCTTCGCTCTTCTCTGTCTTCAGTTTGCTGTTTCCACTTGAGTCAGAGGTTGTGAGTGGACGTCCTCTCGACGTGAAAGGCACTCTATAAATGTAATGTTGTTGTTGTCCTGGGACCAGTGCAGGTTTGTGTTGATCTTGAACGTTGGGCTAATGTTCGTTCGTACCACATGAGAGCGGATTTCCATACGTCAATGAACTTTGGAGACCTTGTCCCCATCCATCTGTTTGGTGTAGATTGGGACCACTCTTGACCATGGTTCTCCCTATCACACTCTCTATTACAATCATTCTCCTCTTTTCTGTCACACTTTCTCTCTCTCTTACAAACTTTTCCCTCTCTGTCACTATCTTTCTCCTCTCTATTAAACTTTCTCTCTATTGCAATCTTTTTGCTTCTCGATCACACTTTCTATTGCAATCTTTCTCCTCTCTATCACACTTTCTCTCTCTCTATTCCAATCTTTCTAACACTTTATCGCATTCTTTCTCGTCTATTGTAATCTTTCTCCTTCTCTCCATCATACTTTGTCTCTCAATCACACTTTCTCTCTAACACAATCTTTTTCCTTCTCTCTTTCACAGTTTGTCTTTTTCTATGACAGTCTTTTTCCTTCTTTCTAACACACTTTCTCTATCAGAATTTCTCTCCATCTCTCTATCAAACTTTCTCTCTATTGCAATCTTTATCCTCTCTATCGTACGTTGTCTCTCTATTAAAATTTTTATCCTTCTTTCGAATACACTTTCTCTCTCCATCAGAATCTTTCTCCTTCTCTCAATCACAAGTTCTCTCTCTATTAAATCTTTGCCCTATATCACTCTTTCTATCATAATGTTTCTCCTCTATTACAACCTTTTCCATCTCTATCACTCTTTCTATCAGAATGTTTCTCCTCTCTATTACAACCTTTTCCATCTCTATCACACTTTCTATCTATCCCAATCTTTCTCCTCTCTATCGCAATCTTCTCTCTATTACACTTTCTCTCTATCGCAATCTTTCTCTCTCTATCACACTTTCTCTCTTGTGCAATCTTTCTCCTTTTCTCTATCACACTTTCACTCTCTAATACAATCTTT